CCACACGCCACAGGGTGCATCGTGCCTGCTGCTGCTTGTGGCAGGCCACGTGACGCTTTTGCACCGGTGCTGCCGATTGTCTGCGCCATGGCACAACACATCAGGCAGCCTGCTGTGAGCAGCGGCACTGGTGCAATGTGCCATGTGGCATGTGGCCTCAAGCAGCCGCAGAAGTTGGATAGCAGTGCGACAAGCCTGGCTACGGCGTTCCTAAGGTTCCTAACCCCTGTCCTAGCTTGATTTTATGCGTGCGCCTTGCCCTAAAACTAGGGGTTATTTGGGGGGTAGGGCTTATATTAGATGCACAGGTAAAAATCAAGGTAGGGATTATTTTCATGGTAGGTCTTATTTTCAGGGAAACACCGTAGCACTCCTGGGAAATAAATCCAGGTAGGATGCAATATTTAGGAGAGTTAGTTTAATGTGAGCCTCCAGTTCGGGTATCCAAATAAAGTCTAGGATTTCTTTCATTTCTGCAAATCTTACTGGTTTATTGAATATATGACATGGTGTAAGCGAAGGAAAACCAATTCTGAAATCCCAGGACATCTAATCAAAGCATATAACAATGACATTCCCAGCCAAACCTCCCAGATGTCCACATAGTTCATGTAAACATCTTCTCGGTTGTTTTAAGAACCTTCTGTTACCTTCTCCACTGCGGTTAGCATGTTCTTGAAAAGTTTCCAGACATTGTTGTCTCAACAAAAGTATGCAGAAATGGAGAAGTTTCATTCCTCTAACTAAGCCATTTGAAGCCCCATTTCCACCCCACCCCACCCCTTACTCTAATAACAAGATGAAAATAAGGCAATGTAGCTGCCAAGTTTTCACTCTTCACACTTGTTTTCTTGTTCAGGATGTTGTGTCTTTTGAGGATGTGGCTGTGCATTTCTCCAAGGAGGAGTGGTCTCAACTGGATGCTGACCAAAAAGCACTTCACAGAGAAGTCATGCTGGAGAATTCCAGGAATCTGGCTTCTCTGGGTAAGAATCCCTATCTGTGCTCAGAAACATACAGAAGGGGCTTAAATGTTATTTCTCATTTAAATATATATATATATTTATTAACAATGCATTCAGAATGTATTCAGACCCCTTTCACTTTTGTCAATTTTGTTATCCTGCAGCCTGATTCTATAGTTGGTAAAATTCACATTTTTTCCTCATTAATCTAGATCAGGGGTAGGCAACCTTGGCTCTTTTATGACTCGTGGACTTCAACTCCCAGAATTCCTGAGCCAGCCATGCTGAGGGGAAAGGGAGAGGTTTCCAAGCTGAGCTATGCTGGCTCAGGAATTCTGGGAGTTGAAGTCCACGAGTCATAAAAGAGCAAAGGTTGTCTACCCCTAATCTAGACTCAGTAGCTGATAATGACAGAGTAAAAACAGAATTTTAGAAATGTCTGTAAATTTATTAAAAAGAAAAAACTGAAATATCACATTGGCATAAATATTCAGGTCCTTCGCTCAGTACTTTGTTGAAGCACCTTTGGCAGAAATTTGTTGGCAGAGTACTTTGTTGAAGCACCTTTGGCAGCCTCGAGTGTTTTTGGGTATGACGCGACAAGCTTTCCACACCTTGATTGAGGAATGGGATGACTCGACGCAGCTAACTCATCGTGGCGTCGAGTCATCATTGACCCCCCTGGATTGGGGGATTTTCTGCCATTTTTCCTGATAAAACCTCTCAAGCTCCTTCAGTTGGATGGAGATTATCGGTGCACAGCTGTTTTCAGGTCCCTCCAGAGATGTTCATAAGGTTCAAGTCAGGGCTTTGGCTTGGCCACTCTAGGACTTTCACAGAGTTGTCCCTAAGCCACTCCTGTGTTGTCTTGGCTGTGTGCTTGGGATCATTGTCATGTTGGAAAGTGAACCTTCTGTCTAGTTTGAGGTCCTGAGCACGATGGAACAGGTTTTCATTGAAGATATCCCTGTGTTTTGCTCCGTTCAGTTTTCCCTCAATCCTGACCAGTCTCCCAGTCCCTGCTGCTGAAAAACGCCCCCACAGCATGATGCTGCCACCACTATGATTCACTGTTGGGATGGTATTGGGCAGGTGATGAGCGGTTTCCTCCAGACATAAGGTTTAGAATTGAGGCCAAAAAGTTCAATCTTGGTTTCGTCAGACAAGAGAATCTTGTTCCTCACAGTCTGAGAATCCTTCAGGTGCTTATTTGCAAACTCCATGTCTTTTGCACTGAGGAGAGGCTTCCGTCTAGCCCAGTGATGGCGAACCTTTTAGAGACTGAGTGCCCAAACTGCAACCCAAAACCCACTTATGCATCGTCGAGTGCCGTGTGGGTGTGGCCCATTGGCTGGGCATGGCCCATTGGCTGGGCATGGCTGCGGTGGTAACGGCAGACTGGGTTGGATTAAAAAGTTCAATCAATCAATTCCAACTTTGCAAGATCTTTTTTTTTCTCGCGAGAAGTTGAAATTGACTGATTGAACCTTTTTTTTTTTTTTTGCACATGGCGACGGAGGCCTAAAGTGAAAAGGTTTTATAAAACCCAGCTGCAGGCCTAGGACTGAGGCGACGGTGCACATGCCCACAGAGAGGGCTCTGAGTGCCGCTTCTGGCACCCGTGCCATAGGTTCGCCACCACTGGTCTAGCCACTCTGCCATAAAGCTCAGATTGGTGGAGGGCTATAGTGATGGTTGTCCTGGAAATCTGTCTCATCTCCACACTGGATCTCTGGAGCTCAGTCAGAGTGACTATCGGATTTTTGGTCACCTCTCTTACCAAGTGTCAAGATTCCGACAGAGACAAATAAAGCAGAACTCCGAGGCTTGCAGTCCTCAAAGAACATGTTTATTAGTTACAAAGTATTGGCACTTTAAAAGTGAAACCAAGTCTGAAGGCACGCGTAACAATTCCCCAATACCAAATTAAGAAATCCCACCCCTAAGGCTGTGCAAGCAACTATGTTCCTCGATACATCTTCTTGGCGGGCTTTTTACGTAACGCCCTGCAGTTTTGGAAGTAGCCGATGACCTTGGTTCCCATGGGATAAAACTTTATTTAGACTAGCGAAGCACCTGGCAACCCCCCTCCCTCCTTTCTATGTGTCAACCGAAAATGAATAGGGAAAATGGCTACAGCCATGCTCATTTTTAAAGTTGATACTAAGGCCCTTCACCCACAATTGCTCAGTTTGACTGAGTGACCAGCTCTTGGAAGAATCCTGGTTGTGCCAAACCTCTCCCATTTGAGAATTATGGAGGCCACTGTCCTCTTAGGAACCTTCAGTGCAGCAGAAATTTTATTGTAGTCTTTATTGTAGCAATAATCCTGTCTCTGAGCTCTAAAGGCAGTTTAGAGGCTTTTGGCCTCATGGCTTTTGGCCTGCTACAGCAGACATGTCAAACTCGCGACGTCACGTGACGTTGCGCAATGTATTGGAGCTTTTTCGCCATTGCTGGCAATGGGGTGGGCGCAGCTCCGGTATGATGAAACTGGCCCACGGGCCTGCAGTTTGACACCCCTGTGCTACAGTATGCATTATCAGCTGTGAGGGCTTCTATAGGGAGCTGTGTGCCTTTTCAAATCAGGTCCAATCAATTTAATTTACCACAGGTGGACTCCAATCAAGTGTAGAAACATGTCAGCAAGGATCAAGAGAAATGGGAGGAACCTGAGCTAAATTTCAAGTGTTGTTGCAAAGGGTCTGAATACTTATGCCAATGTGATATTTCAGTTTTTTCTTTTTAATACATTTACAAATATTTCTAAAATTCTGTTTTCACTTTGTCATTATGGGGTACTGAGTTTAGATTAATGAGAAAAAAAATGTAGAGTCAGGCGGCAGCATAACAAAATTGACAAAAGCGAAGGGGGTTTGAATATTTTCTGAACGTACTGCATATATACTTCTTTTATTATTTGTAAATAATAAAGGCAGCGGACATACGGAATATTCCTTCCTTCTGTTCTCCCTACAACAACCGCCCTGTGACATGGGTTGAGCTGAGAGAGACTGGCCCAAAGTCACCCAGCCAACATTCAGGTCTAAGGCAGAACTAGTACTCCCAGTTTCTAACCTGGAGCCTTAACCATTGGACCAAACCTACTTTACGGGAAATGAAATTTATTAAAATAAAAACTGGAAAACTGCATAGCCTCCCTTTTTACATAAAGGAAATCGTTACTGCTCTCTGCTCGTAAAATACAAAATACTCATTTCATACAAGATATTAGCAAGAATCTGAGGGGTAGGCTGCACGTAGGGATGGTGTGGCCTCTATTGAACAAGATCCAACTTTCCAGGTTTCCGTATTCACTCCTGAACCTGGTCACTGGGTTCTTGATGGCCTGAGCTGTTATAACCAAGACTGGATGAGCCCTGAAAGGGATGTTCCCCACTTAGAGATGTGTACCAAGTTTGGCATTAGCCTAAGTTGAGGATGGGGAGCTATTGCCATCCAGAATTGGTTTGAAAGATTCTGCTCTTCAGACAAGTGGAGATGAGACTCTTATTGAAGTCGGGAGCTAGCAGATATGTTGCTGCTCCAGCATGATACAGTGTCCAATGCACTTCAGGAGTTTGTGGCACCACGGAATAGTCCCAGGTCAAAGATTAGATCAGGGTTGTGTCTTAGGTTTGTTATGATGTGATCCAATTCTGATATAAGAGGATCAGTAGGGATAGACTTGGAAATGGGTCTTTGTCAAAATCTTAGCTTGGAATCTTCATGTTTGCCAACAAAATAGCCAAAAAAAAGATATTGATGATTCTTTGGGTAAATTTCAGAAGAAAAGGTTTGATTGTTGCCCTATTCTTGCTACAGTTTTTTTTCCTTTCTCTCCCCCCCCCCAAGGCTTCAATGGGCAAGAGAATAAAAATTGCAAGGAGGAATGCCAAGTGATCCATTCGAAAAGGGGAAAAGGGAAATTTGCAGATCAGGTGCAAACCAAGAGTGACGAAACAAATCGATCACAAAGTGGAATTAAAAAAGGCTTTCCTCGGGTCAGTTGGCTTCCTAACCGTACAAGCATTGATACAGGAGAAAAATCATACAAATGCTCGGAGTGTGGTAAGAGCTTTAATAAATCTGATCATCTCATTTCCCACAAAAAGACACATTCAGCACAGAAACAATTTACTTGCAGGGAGTGCGGAAAGACCTTCTGTAATAATCAGTCTCTTAGACGTCATGAAAGGAGTCACACGGGAGAACGACCTTATCAATGCATGGAGTGTGGAAAGACCTTTACTCATAGCAGTAGCCTCAATTCCCATAAGAGGATCCACACTGGAGAGAAGCCATATCAATGCATGGAGTGTGGAAAGACCTTCTGTTATTCTCAGTCTCTTATAATCCATCAGAGGAATCACAAAGGAGAAAGACCTTATAAATGCACGGAGTGTGTAAAGACTTTTACTTGTAGCAGTAGCCTTAATTCCCACAAGAGGATCCACACAGGAGAGAAGCCTTATCAATGCATGGAGTGTGGAAAGGGTTTTCGCAGGAGTCATCATCTCGCCTCCCATAATAGGGTCCACACGGGAGAGAAGCCTTATCGATGCATGGAGTGTGGAAAGGGTTTTTGCAGGAGTCATCATCTCGCCTCCCATAATAGGGTCCACACGGGAGAGAAGCCTTATCGATGCATGGAGTGTGGAAAGGGTTTTAGCAGGAGGTGTCATCTCGCCTCCCATAATAGGGTCCACACGGGAGAGAAGCCGTATTGATGCATGGAGTGTGGAAAGACTTTTACTTATAGCCATAATCTTAATTCCCACAAGCAGTGCCACAGAGAGAAAGTGTAGTGTGTGTGGGAAGAATTTTACTAGGAGTCAAAGTCTGGCTGTCCATAAAAAGATCCATACAGGAGAGAAACCATAGAAATGTATAGAGCAGTGGTTCTCAACCTTCCTAATGCCGCGACCCTTTGATACAGTTCCTCATGTTGTGGCGACCCCCAACCCCCCATCCAGCTGGCCGGGGAGGGGGCAGGAAGGCTGCTCCGCCGGCTCCGCCCAGCCTGGTTGGAGAAGTGCCATTTCTCTCTCTCTTTCCTCTCTTTCTTTCTTTCCTCTCTCTTTCTCTTTCTTCCCTTTCTCTTTCTTCTCTCTCTCTTTCCTCTTTCTCTCTTTCCTCCCTTTCTCTTTCTCTCTTTGCTCTCTTTTCCTGTTTCTTTCCTCTCTTTCTCTTTCCTCGTTCTCTCTTTCCGCTCTCTTTCCTCTCTTTCTCTTTCCTCTCTCTCTCTCTTCTCTTTCTCTTTCCTCTCTCTCTTCTCTTTCTCCCTCTTTCCTCTCTTTCCCTCTTTCCTCTCTTTTTCTCTTTCCTTTCTTTCTCTTTCCTCCCTTTCTCTTTCTTCTCTCTCTCTTTCCTCTTTCTCTTTCCTCCCTTTCTCTTTCTCTCTTTGCTCTCTTTTCCTGTTTCTTTCCTCTCTTTCTCTTTCCTCGTTCTCTCTTTCCGCTCTCTTTCCTCTCTTTCTCTTTCCTCTCTCTCTCTCTTCTCTTTCTCTCTCTTTCCTCTCTCTTCTCTTTCTCTCTCTTTCCTCTCTCTTTCCCTCTTTCCTCTCTTTTTCTCTTTCCTCTCTCTTTCTCTTTCCTCCCTTTCTCTTTCTTCTCTCTCCTCTTTCTCTTTCTCTCTTTCCTCCCTCTTTCTCTTTCTCTCTTTGCTCTCTTTTCCTGTTTCTCTCTTTCCTCTCTTTCCTCTTTCTCTCTTTCCGCTCTTTCCTCTCTTTCTCTTTCCTCTCTCTTCTCTTTCTCTCTCTTTCCTCTCTCTCTTCTCTTTCTCCCTCTTTCCTCTCTCCCTCTTTCCTCTCTTTTTCTCTTTCCTCTCCCCTTCTTCCTTCCCGGCAGCCTGGACTCCGGCGCGCCTTCCCGGCCAGCGGGTCCAATGGTCAGGCTGGCTGGGGATCGCAGGGGCTGGTCTCCCTCGGGCCGCGGCTTGCGGGAGGGCTGGCCCGCTCAGCAGAGCCTCCAGCAAGCCGCTCCCAGCAGGGATCCCAGGGCTTCCCCGGGCGGCTCCAAGGCCACGAGGCCCTGGCCGCACTTCTCCCAGGGGGTGGGGCCCCCGGGCGCAGGGCCAATCAGGAGCCCTGCAGGAGGTAAGTCCGCCTGAGAGAGAGAGAGAGAGAAGGGAAGCGAAAGTGCCTCTCTGTCTCTCTCTCTGCAAATGGCGGAGGAGGCCGTGCGGAGACGGATAGAGGGGCGGTGTCTCGGTTCCTAAGACCATCGGAAATATGTGTTTTCCGATGGTCTTAGGCGACCCCTGTGAAAGGGTCGTTCGACCCCCCCAAAGGGGTCGCATCCCACAGGTTGAGAACTGCTGGTATAGAGTATGGAAAGAACTTTCCTAATAGCAGTTGTCTTCATTCCCACAAGAGGAGCCACATAGAAGTCATAGGGCTTTAGAAAGAATTGTGATCTTATTTCCCATAAAACAGTGGTTCTCAACCTTTTTAATGCCGCGACCCCAACCTGTCGTAAGTCGAGGACTAAACCGGTCGTAAGTCGAGGACTAAACCGGTCGTAAGTCGAGGACTAAACCGGTCGTACGTCGAGGACTACCCAACCGGTCGTAAGTCGAGGACTTTCCCTGCCCGGGAGCGCCGCGCATGCGTGGTTCCGCCCCCTGCGCCGGCCGAGGCGTAGCTGGCAAGCGGCAGAGACGGAGCAGGCCGACCACCAGCTGGCCCAGCCCAAGGGAGGTAAGGCACCCGCCGGAAAAGGGGAAAAAATGGCGGACAAAAAAAAATGGCGGACAGCCTTGCTTGGCGACCCCCGTGAAATGGTCGATCGACCCCAAATGGGGTCCCGACCCACAGGTTGAGAACCACTGCCATAAAAGGATCCATACAGGGGGGAAAAAAACCATATGAATGCATGGTGTGTGGAAAGAGCTTTACAAGGAGTAATGTTCTAACTTGCCATAGAAGGATCCCCACACGGGAGAAACCATATCAATAATGCAGGTGTGGGAAGAGCTTCCATAGAAATATAGGTAGTCCTTGGTTTATGACGGCAATTGAGCCCACAATTCCCATTGCTAGGTGAGACAGTTGTTTAGTGAGTTTTGCTCCGTTTTAGGATTTTTTTTCTTGTTGCATTTATTAAGTGAATCACTGCAGTGGTTAAGTTAGTTAACACTGTTGTAAAATGATGCTGGCTTCCCCGTTGGCTTTGCTTGTCAGAAGCGCACAAAAGGAGATCACATGACCCAGGGACCCTGCAACTGTCATGAATCACTTGTCAAGCATCTTTGATCAGTTTGATCAAAGGGACCATGGGGACGCTGCAACGGTTTTAAGTGTGGAAAACGGTCGTAAGTCACTTTTCCAGGGCTGCTGTAACTTTGAACAATCACTAAATGAACCGTTGTAAATTGAGGACTATATAGTTGTCTAAAATCTCATGCAAGGACCATTTGAGTAAACAAATAAATTGTAAACCTTCTTAGATGTGCATGCATAAATTGCCTTTCTAGTGCAAACCAGAACGAGGTGGATCCTTAATCTTGCTTGTGGGTTTTGCCAAGTTCAAATAGTCAAAGGTCTTCTCCCCATGTAGAAATATTTCTCACTGTTTTTCATTATATTTTTTCAAATATTCCAAAATATCAAACACAAGTATCACATTCTTCCAATTATCTTTTAGGTAAAAAAAAATCCACACCTTTATTAGATATTAGAGCAGTGTTTCTCAACCTTGACAATTTTAAGGCATGTGGACTTCAACTCCCAGAATTCCACAGCCACCATTGCTGGCTGTAGAATTCTGGGAGTTGAAGTCCACATGCCTTAAAATTGTCAAGGTTGAGAAACACTGTATTAGAGAGAAGCAATCTAAAACTAAGGAGAAACTTCCTGACAGTGAGAACAATTAACCAGTGGAACAACCTGCCTCCAGAAGCGGTGAATGCTCCAACACTGGAAGTTTTTAAGAAGAGACTGGACAGCCATTTGTCCGAAATGGTATAGGGTTTCCTGCCTGAGCAGGGGGTTGGACTAGATGACCTTCAAGGTCACTTCCAACTTTATTATTATTATTATTATTATTATTATTATTATTATTATTATTATTATTATTATTATTATTATTATTGCTCACTGATGGTTCTGGATCAAACAGGTGAAAGGGCATTAATTTTGGTTTTGTAATCATATCAATTTTTTTCATAATAGAAGACAGATTGGACTTAGAGCCTTGATAAATAAAGAAACGGGCTGAAAAGAATGAAGCCAGAATGAGAAGTTAAGGCCATTCTTTTAAAATTGTTTCTTAACCACAATTTCCCCTCCGTCCTTTCTTTCACTAATTGTAGCTAAATCTTTTTTTCTTGAACTGTCACCTCCAAATCTAGACTAAACCAGTGAAATCTTCACTTATTTTTCAGCATTTGCCTTCCTTCATTTTGTAATTTCACTTTTTCTCCAGTCACATATGAGACTTTATTCTCCTAATCTTCATTTCTCCATCATGGCACCTTGTTTTGAGGTAAAAAAATTTAAAAGATCCACATGTTTGAGCTTTCTCTCCATTTTGAAACTACTTTTGATCACTCTTTTTTCACGGGATCTTTTCTTCAGGATTATTCTCATTATTACAGGCTGCCTTTGATGTTTCCAAGTCTCCTTGGCTGCCCAGAGGCGTGCATTTGAAAAGGCAGTTGTAATAATTGAACTCCCTAAAGAAAAATCAATACAAATCTTAATTTCCCTCAACCTGTCCCTTTCCTCTCTGTGTTTCTGTCAGGCCCCTGATCTCCCCTCACTTCAGGGCTGAGTTTGCCATCAGCCACAAGACACAAACAGTGTTTCATACAGAAACTCCTGTTCCTTTTCTTTCAGACTGTCCTGCCATTCCTGACAGGATTTTGCTAATTTTTGAGGCCTCTGGGAATCCCTGCAGACCCTTCAGAGAGGTTGCTCTTGAGGAAAATGTTTTTGAGTTTCCACAGAGATTTTCTCAGTGTTCACAAAGGTCACAGATGTTTCTTAGACATTAAAAAAGAGGAAACTCTAGAAACTGCCGCCTGCTGGAGACGCCACTTTTTGTCTAGATCAGAGGTAGGCAACCTCGGCTGCTGACTCAGGAATTCTGGGAGTTGACGTCCATGAGTCATAAAAGAGTCGAGGTTGTCTACTCCTGGTCTAGATAGGCAATGTTTTGTTGTTGTTAGTTGCGAAGTCGTGTCCGACCCATCGCGACCCCATGGACAACGTTCCTCCAGGCCTTCCTGTGCTCTACCATCTTCTGGAGTCCATTTAAGCTCCCGCCTACTGCTTCAGGGACTCCATCCAGCCACCTCATTCTCTGTCGTCCCCTTCTTCTATTGCCCTCCATCTTTCCCAGCATGAAGCTCTTCTCCAGTGAGTCCTTCCTTCTCATTA